CGGTTCCCGCTGCACTACGTTACCGACCTACGAACTAGCTATGATTCACTCTCAAAGAATTTAAGCAAAGGGGGAAAAAAACAGGAAATGGAGGAGGAAACGGGAATTCTTTTCCTGTTGGGTTTGCTGTTTTGTTTGTGTGTTGTATCTTCTTCCACTAAGAGCTCCTCTATTTATACACATGGAGGAGGAGCCAACTCATTAATGCCATGAATGGGGAGTTATAGCATTGAAGAGAAATGGCTGAAGTTAATCTCCATAACTCCTGAAAGGAAGAGAAAAGAAACTGCAGAAACTGATGAAATTGACCTGGTGAATTAATTTTCATTCACTAATTCATTATTTTCCAACAATTCAATGACAAAACTGTGTTGCTGTTTTTAAAATTTCATTGTTAAACAAAAAATTGGACGATAAAGTTTTCGTTGTTAATATTTGTGGCAATAATAAATTTGGTCATGGGAAATTTTACTACCAACAAAAATATAACCTTTCCTCGTGTAAATACCTTTAGTGAAAAAATTGCTCGTGTTCAAAATTGTAGTTTCTCATTAAATCTAAACACAAAAAATTCCAATACATAATGAAAAAATATGTCAATGTTATAACAACAACATCATTACAATGTAAAAACAAAACTTAGTCAAATTACTCTTCCTCAAAAGCAAGGTCACCGATCGGCCATTTTCCGAGGGTTTCCGAATACCTAAACCTCCGGTGTCCCGTTCCTTCCCTGTGGCTGAAGATAGACTCTGGCTTAGAACCTAATACATAAGCATTATAGTCCCCATTGCCATTGTCATCGCCACCATCAGATCAGTCCCAAAAAATAAATTTTGTAGATGTAAATATGTTGATTTCATTAAAGGAAAATGAATGTTATAAGAAATTGGGGTTCAAAATTTTAGTGATCTCTACATCTACGTTGTATGAGAAAGAAGCAAACAATACAGAACGCTTCAAACTTGTTGGGTGATGGGAATTGAAATTACGAGATTTGACCCAAATTACAACTAGAGGGGAGGTGAATAGGTGATTATGTGGAATTAAAAACTAATAATTAAATAGTAACAAATCACTTTTAATTATCTTCAGATGGTTAATCAATCAATCCAATTTTCCTATGTTGAATTGTCGCAATAATATGAAAACAAAACATAACACACAGAATAATCACAGAGAAATCTCAACAGGGTAAAAAACTCTTGGCACTCAGCTAGTCAAAAATTCACTATAAACGAATTTAAACTTACAGTCCGTTAGACGCAATTATCACTAGTACTTTCTGACCTCCTAACTACAATTTCTACAGCCTTCTTGGATTGCGTGCCATTGTACCAACTCCCGACTGGAATTCTCACATCCCTCATGGATTGCGTGCTCTTGTACTAACTCCTAGTTGAAATTTTCAAAGCTCTCCTAGAGTGCGTGCTTCTGCACCAATTCCTAGCTTTATGAATTCGTCTATCTCATGTGGATCAACGAAAAACTCCACGTTCTCCAACAACAATTGGAACTCTAGTCACATTCTCTTAATCTTTAGAACTATGATAAATGTTTAGGAAGTATGCAGTTTGGTAATTGGATTAAGTAAATTTGATGTTTTTACCACCAAGAACAAATCAAACTACGAAGGTTGAAGGCTGTTGATGAATTTGATAAAGAAGATATGGAGCAATATGAGTTCTCTCAATATTCAACCTTCGAAAAAATCGTTTGGAGGCATGTTGGTATTTATACTGTAGATTTAGGGTTGAATGAGTTGGACAAAAAGCCTTAAAACACGAATTTAAACTATCCAGATAACACTGTCACACAAGCGAGATATCAACGATAGGGCAGCGATAGGTTGTCGCTTGATCGAGGACAAGGCATCTGGCGAGCAACAAAGTTTCTGCTTCTGTCGTTCGAGCGAAGACATGGCGATAAGCTAGCAAAATTGCGGCGATATTTTCTTACTTTTTTCATAATCAAACCCTGGAACATATACAACTCCACTTATTCAAATTGTAGATTACTCCTTGACTTTTACATCACATTTATTTCAGTCCTTTTTGTTCCCAAACTTATCAATTACAATGAAACCTAACAAGCCCCCCCCCCCCCCCCCCCC